AGTCTCTGCTCTCTCTCTCTCCTTTTTCTTAAATGCCACCACTCCTCTTTCCCAGATTCAGAGCAGTCCTCTCTGTGATCGCAGTACCTCACGCATACAGGACTTTAGCCTTCAACAACAACAAAATCCTTGGTTTCCTAAGGATCCGGGACTCGTGGTGTCAAGCTGTGAACATGACCATGTCAGCCTATGCCTTTCAAATACGTGTTGCTTTGAAACCACTGGGCAGCAGAGCCTCTATCCATGGGGATGCTCAAAATTTGACGTAACAAGATTCCATGCAACCTGACCTGACTTTGCAGTTAGCTCTATTTAGACTGGACAGTGGGCCAGGTGACCTCCAGAGGGCCCATCCAACCTGATTATTCTGCAATTCTGCAATTGCAATTCTGCAATTACTGTCAATCAGCTCTGAGAGAAGGAGAGGTGTCGTAGAGACAAGAAGCTCCTACAGCTCTGAGACAGAAGACTGCTTTCCTCAGTCCATGCTGAAGAGGTTGCTGTGTAGATTAACCTTTCACTAGAGACTAGAAAGTTCATAAAGAGTCCAGACAGGGAGGAGAAAGGTGTGCACCTGCCCTAACAAACTGCAATGTCCTCAGAGCGAGCACACTGCTGCCTCCCAGCCACAGTGGATGCGAATCACCATGCAGTGAGGGATCAGTGCTATAGCTATGTTCAGCAACTCCCATGTGTGGACAACTCTTGAAAGAGCTTCAAACACGTAAGCCCTGGGAAGAGGGAGAATTTAGTAAGCATGCATGCCCTTCCCAGGCACACATCTATCTCCTCTTGAGCAGCTGCTCAAGCAGGGTGGAGGCTGCTGTTTTTGGAGCTTAGCTGCCTTTCTTGCTTCTGAGAAGAACTAGAGTTGCCTGCCTCATGAGACTGATGTGTACAAGTCTATGGGGCCAGATGGCGTGCATCCCAGGGTTCTGAAGGAGCTGGCTGAGGTGGTTGCCGAGCTGCTCTCCATCATATTTGAAAAGTGGTTGTCAGGTGTGGTCCCGGATGACTGGAGGAAGGGTCACGTCACTCCCATTTACAAGAAAGGGAGCAAGGAGGACCCCGGGAACTACAGGCCGGTGAGTCTCACCTCTGTGCCTGGGAAGATCATCGAACAGATCATCCTGGATGACATGCTTGATCACATGAGGAAAGGGCGTGTGATCCGTGACAGCCAGCACG